CGTGAATACAACGGTCGTCTAGAAAATTTTAGCCGTCCTCAAGTGATAGAAAATTATAGGTAATATTTGCTTCTCCGAACAGACATTTTATAGAAAATAATCGCTGGGTGCACCTGAATGATCATGAATCAATTGTCCAACCAGCAAATTTTTACATTGGGTGACTGAGTTCGACTTGGTTGTCGGATACTAGTTTCGACTCTGTTCATTTTATGATATCGAGACACCGAGAAAATGGGTTGAAAAACGAGACGCAGCTAATGTCGATGTCTGGATATCGGCCGGTTGAAAAACTGAGTGGCCGTGTTTGATATAGCGTTTCAAATTAATTACAATTTTTGAAGAAATAAAAAGGAAAGGAAAAGCAAAATTCGCAAAATGGTAATATCAAGATTGGATATCGGATATCCAATCTACCCTAAGGGTAAGTGATTTCCATTGTTTCTATTCGTCTCTTCCTGAATTATTAAATGAAGAGAAGCGAACTATGGCTTAAAAACCGTTCAAAATTATTCTGGGGTATTTGCTTCTCCGAACAGATATTTCATAGAAAATAATCGTTGGGTGTATACCTGAATGATCATGAATCAATTTTCCACCAGCAAATTTTTTGAGTGGGTGAGTGAGTTCGACTTGGTTGTCGGATACTAGTTTCGACTCTGTTCATTTTATGATATCAAGACACCGACGGAGAAGTTGGGTTGAAAAACGAGAAACAGTTAATATCGATGTCTGGATATCGGCGGGATGAAAAACTGGGTGGTCGTGTTTGATATAGCGTCTCAAATGAACTATAATTTTTGAAGAAATAAAAAGGAAAGGAAAAGCAAAATTCGAAAAATGGTAATATCAAGATCCGATATCCAATCTACCCTAAGGGTAATGATTTCCATTGTTTTATTCGTCTCCTCCTGAATTATCAAATAAAGAGAAGAGAGCAGGAGGCAACCCAATTGACTGTTCACTAGCTTCGCTGAACTCGGGACTCTTGAACACGAAAAATCCAGTTACTGGTTGTTAGGACAGGACTTTAAAGAGCTCCAGCGCTCTTTTTTCACTATTCGTTTTTCCTGTTTGCATACCGACCAGATGATTTCTTCCTTCCGCATAGTATCATTGCGTAAATCTCTAGTTGTCACGCCCTCTTTATCGTTTCTTTGAAATTTTAACTTCATCTGCGCCTTTTTCAGTCTCTCTAGTTGTCTCTTTGCATATTCAACCAGATTTTACATCGCAGTCCTGCAATAAGATTGTCACTTTAAGACCGCGCTAAGCGCAGTTTTTTCAGTCGTGTTCGCAGTAGTTTCCCTCTGATCGATTTGTAAATGGAGGAGGACACTTAGTTCATTCATTCATTCGTTCTTTCTTCTATTTCATTTCAGCCTCAAATTGAAACTCGTCTTTGTTTCAATTGAACGAAACCTACAACACATTCTCTTGTAACTAGGTTTTGTCCGCTCTCGTCCGCTCTGATTAGTTCAGCCTCGTCCCAGGGCTTTCTCCTTCAAAAATGGGAAGGGGGTAAGTGATTAAGCCTTGAGCTTATGATTGGCTGTTAAGCTCGGCTGTTATTATCTTGTACAAGTCACCACCACTTCGGTGGATAATTGTTTAGTATTGTTATTCGCCCACGTCCTTAACATGCGATCGCGTGATATCCCCTAATGGTTCATTTTTCACGGTTATGAATACCTTTTGGTTTAGAAGGAAGACAAGGCGCGGTGTCAGTTAAGTTTGGGGGCGAGGAATTCGAAGTTGGGCACTTTTTTGAAAAGGGGGCGTAATTTGAGCTATCTGAGGCTTGTACAGACGACGTACACGCTGCGTATTCAAACATAATTTTAATTTCTAGGCTACCCGGGAGGACAAAGAAAAACCAGTATGCTCAGGTTACGCCACCATTGCAATAAGGCAGTTTTTCCCAGTTATTCTCGCGTTTCCCAGATAGAAGTGAACGACCCCCCTAAAAATGGTATAATTGCCCATTTTTAACGGCTTTTTACCCTAAAAAGGTCACCTAGAATTTTCGGGAGCCTTTTTTCTGGCGGAAATTTTCGAAAAGGTAAGTTTTGATCCCTATAATTTTCGGATCACTAGACTTTCAGCTAGGAAATCTGAACAGATAAAAAATTTTAAGGGTTTAAAAATATAGCTATATCTACCGTTTAAATACTTAAATACGTTCAACAATGCTATTTTTAAGTGGTTTTGAACCATATTGGCGTTGGGTGCCCCTGGTGATATTTCGAAATCGTTATACGTAATTTGAAATTTGAGACAATTTTGAAATATCACGAGTGGTATTTATGCCAAGTATCACGTACAAATCATGCTATTATTTGTTTATACCACTACCCGCAAACGGTTTGTAATTTTCACATGTAGGTATTTCAAATTAAGCTGAAATACCACTGCTTTAAGCCAATCAAATTGCAGAAATTTCTCATGTAGTGGTATAAAGGCACTAATTTAACCCTCAGCTCAAATTGACCTAAGACAGACTGAAATATCCTGGTAACACAGTCTTACCTGAGGTTCAGTTTCTGAAAGAGATGCTTGTGCGTGAGCTCCACTTGCAATGCCAGTGCTGGATTTTTTCTTTTAAGAACAAAGAGACAGGTTGCAAGTAAAAGGTAGCAGAGCATTAGTGGATGCTGCAGATAACGTGTCTCACAGATCTGGTCTGAGTTGTGGTCGCATTTAACGATGTAAAAGCCGCTAAAACCAAGCCAGCAACAGACAGCAGTGAAAAAATCACAATGGGAAATCACGTACATTGACGATACGGCGAGGCATATCGCAATTAATCCTCATATTTTCCCTGTACCTTCTCTGGTCACCAAAAATCTGGTTCCTGTCTTGGATCATGGTATAGGGGGAAAAATACGTTGGAGGATTACAGGCAGAATCGGTCAGTTCGTTTCTGGCAGCAAATGGGGCTTGCAATTGATAAGTTAAGGGCTGGATTTTCATGTTTCGTCATCATCAACTTTTCCCCTCCCAAGATTTACACCCTCGAAGCCTTCAACTAAACAAATCATATCCGCCGACGGACAAGAAAAAGTAATTTCACATGGATGATCAGCAGACCTCAGATTTGTAAGGATGTCTCGATGGTAGCTGAAGCTTTTGACGATTTAATACATACCGAAGTTAACAAACATGTATTTTAAGTAAATAATTTGTGAAGAAATTGAAACCGAATTAAAGACCATATTAGATTTTTTCATCTTTTGTTTTCTGACGATATGCTTACTACTAGCTTTTAAAAAATTTCATTTTCCGTCACGAATTTAAACCGAATTCTATTCTTAACTAAGTATTTTCGGAGCAGTTGTACCCTGCCACGGTCAGTCTGCAGTTGAAGCACACTTTTAAATCAGTCATTTTTCTTGTGCAATATCTTACGAATATTCTTCAGCATTGTAACTATTTCAGATTAAACTTCTTACTTTTTGGCTCTAGTAAATAACATTAAAGCACATTACCAGAGGAAAATGGAAAAATTTACCTACAAAGATGGAAAATTAACCAAAGGAGCCTAGATTTCCCGGACTCGTCTCAACGCAGTAGTCTGAAATGTCAAACGTCTCCATGCCCCTAACCCGTGGGCGGCTGTTGGTTCCCCTAGCGTGCAACTTCCAGAGAAACTAAAACAAGACTTGCCGCTCAACAAATAAAATACAATAAACATTGACTACAGTTTTTCAAGGACTTCTCTCTCACAGATCAAAAGTTTCAAACTTTGCAGGAAAGCCACTTGCCTGTCTGTGTCGTGGACTCCTTTGCCTCGTGGTTCGAGCCCTTCTCTCGCCCTGCACGTGCGACATGGACTCAGTTCTCCTCGGACCGGATTAAGTAACGCTTCTTATGCAGACTAAGAAATATTAATCTACTCTTCTTATGAGACAAGGCTTAGTTTGTAAGTATTCGCTGTGACTGTGAGAACTAGCCTCTCCTGACCCCTTCCCCCCCCCCCCCCCCCCCCCCCCCCCCCCCCCCTCCCCAACACCCCCCCACCCCCACACCCCCTTTTCCCCCCTCCGCCTTTCACAAACACGTATTTACCCCCTGGGTCTTTGCCCACACACCGTTTTTTTTTATTTGTGGGTATTTTTTTATATAGGTCGTTTTCTA